TGGGAGAATGTTTGTTTTATTGTTCTTAGTTCATTTTTGGGTATTGGTTTTATTTTTTTAATTAGAGGAATCAGACTGAAGTTGACATAAACAAACCAGACTAGTTGTGAGTTGGCTTCAGGTGTGGCTGGATCCAGAATACCACTTACTTGAGCTCAGTATTTATCTCCATCTTTTGTTCTGTTGACCTCTCTGTGTTGGCTTTAGCCTCAGGTGTAGTCTGTATGGGATGAGAAGAGTGCAACTCTGGCTTCTTAAACTCAGCACTTAGTAAGCTCCCAGTAAGTCTAACAAAAATCTCAGCAGAGATTGGCCAGACTTAGAGCACATGCGCATTTGGGAAGCTGAAGTTCTCCCCCTCCCCTGAAAAGTTGGTACTGTCATGTGGCTCTCCTACTGGAAAACAGCAACTGTTGGGAGTAGATGCTGGAAAGGCAAGACCAAGGAAAGCTCATCCTGTATCCCACCCACCATAATCTACCTGGTTCTTCTTAGTCTGCCTGCTCATAGGCCCTGTTCATCTCCACAACCCCGAGGACTTCCAGGGTGCTTGGCCTTTATCCTCCTCTCTGCCACTCCTGGCCTTGCTGGTGTTCTCTGTAGCCAAACCTGATGCCGGGCCGCTAGGATAATTGCTGGTCTTGGCCTGGCAACGGCATGGCGAGGAGAGGAGAGGAGAGGAGAGGAGGGGGCTTCAGATTCGCTCTCCTTCCTGTGGATGAATCATGTTCTCATCCAACACCGGAAGCCGTGAGGAGGCGCTGTTCCTACTCCACCCTTTAGCTTCTGGTGCGTCCTGATGGGTCTTCACAAGGGGGTGATGTGGTGGCCTCAGTTCCAGACAGCACTCTCTCAGTAGCTACATCTAGATGCAGACTGGGGGTCTTTCTCCTGGATGGAGACTTGCTCTGGGCCTAACCAGTCCTCAGCAAGGAAAGTGAGGCCACCCATCTCTGCTTTGATGGAATATCTCTGCAGGGTGCTGTCAGCCCCTTGGGAGGATGGTGCCTCATTTTCGTGGGCTGTCCCATGCATTGAATGACATTTGGCAGCCCTGGATCCTGTGAAGTCACTGGGACTCTAGCACCTGAGACCCTGACGAAGGTAGGACATTATTCTCTGCCTGTCCTACCTAAATCAGCCTTTCACATAAATGACGGGAGATTCACCTCTCAGGAGCAGAGCTGCTGAAACATGACCAAGACAACAGACAGGAGATATCTATTGCAGACATTCTGTTTGCAACGGCCCAGCACTTGTCTAGAAGCTTCATTGTGGAGGGGCCCAGGTACACTTTTCTTATTGCTCATCTCATGGTCTGAGAAGGCCTGTTTCTGCTCCTGCTTCCACCATCACATCTGTATTTCAGCCAATGAGAAAGAAGAGCATGTCCTAAAATTGGCTGGCCTCATTGGCAGTTTAATGGAAGGAATTATGCTGCCAGTGCAAAGGTATGCTGTTCGAATCCATTAGCTGCTCTACAGGAGAAAGACAGGCAGTCTCCTTCTGTGCGATTTATTGCCTTTGAAAACCTGTTGGATGGTCAGTTCCGAGACAATGGCACACAACAACAATAATAACAGCAACAACACTGTGCTTATGTGTCATTGGATAAAAATAAGCCTCGTGATCACACCCAGCTGTAAAACTCAACTCATGGTGGTTGAGTGGGAACTGACTCATAGCTGACCCTCCAGTGAATTTTCAGAGGCTGGATCACATGGAAGGAGATTGCCCATCTGTCTGCCTTGGAGCATTTGGTGGATTTGAACTTCCTGTCTTTGGATTGGCAGTGCAACTCCTTATCCACTAGGCTACCAGAGCATTCCTCTCAGATAAAGGGAGGTTGAAAAGTAACTACTGTTTTGGGAAACCATGTGCCAGCTAAAACTCAAGGGTTCTACTACTAAAGGGAGAGATGAGTTCTTGGGGCCTCTCTACTGAGAGTTGTCATTCCTTTCCACTTCACTGTTTTATCATTTGAGAAACTGACCTCTGAAAGAAGCCCATGCATCAGGATTGGAGGAAAACTCACCAGTAACCTATACTGTGCTGATGATACAACCTTGCTTTCTGAAAGTAAGGGGGACTTGAAACACTGCAGAGGATCAAATACTGCAATCTTCAATATGAATTGTATCTCAACAAGAAGATAAAAATCCTTACCATTGGACCAATAGGCAATGTCATGACAAATGGAGAAAAGGCTGAAATTTGTCAACCATTTCATCTTACTTAGTTCCACAATCAACACCCTTGATACTAAAGTAACTAGACCAAGAAACATATTGCATTGGGCAAATCTGCTGTCAGGGATCTCGCCAAATTACTAAGGAGTAATGATGTCCCTGATTTAGACCATAGTCTTTTCAATCATTTGCAGTATGTCTGAGAGCTGGACAATGACTAAGGATGACAGAAGAATTGATGCCTATGAATTGTGGTGTTGGAGAAGAGTACTGAATATTCTATGGCCTGTCAAAAGAACAAACAGATATATCTTGGAAAAAAAGCAGCCAGAGTGCTCATCGGAGGCAAGGATGGTGAAATGTTGTCTCACATATTTTGGACATGTTGTTAGGAGAGGTTATTCCTTGGAAAAGGGATATCTTGCTTGGAAAGACTGAGACCTTCAGTGAGATGGATAGACACAGTGATCGCAGCAGTGAGCTTAAGTGTGTTGGAGATGATGAGGATGGCACAGGACAGGACAGAGTTCAAGTCTATTGTTCATATGGTCACTATGACTTATACTCAACTTGATGGCACCTAGCAACAATAACAACTTTTTTTTCTTTCTTTACATACAGGATTTCCCCCCCCCTTTTGGATGTGTGTATGTGTGTGCACATTATTAGTCTCTCTTTTCCTAGAGTGAAGGATAAAGGCCCTGTGAAGTCAGGGCCTGGTGTGTCTTGCTCCCTGCTGTGTCCTGGCACCTAGGTTGCTTCTAGCTCAACAGAAGTGCTCAAGGATGCCATATCAAGTGAGGAGAAGAATGAATAAATAAATGCCCTCACTGCAGGGAGGACCCCCTGCCTCCCTCTCCCATCAAGAGGGAAGAGAATGGTATTTTTTCTTTGAAACGATTATGTATTAGTCTCTTTAATACTCCCTGCCACCCTGGAGGTGGTTGCTGCATCCTCACTTGACAGATGGAAGCCGAGTCACGTACTGGCAAGAGGCCTGCAGAGAGGAGAAGGGCTGACCAGCTTCCAACACGCCCCCTTTCTGATCTTGTCTCTATCAGCGGTGATGTCGCCAGCAATTCCACACCAGGGCCTTCTAGAGAAATGAACCCAACACCTCCAACCTTCATCCTGGGCCGTGCTACTGCTCAAGACATGTTGTTGTGTGCTGTCGAATTGCAACCGACCCACAGCTGATCTTTCAGTGGGTTTTCAGAGGTAGTAAATTGCGTGGGAGGAGATTGTCTTTCTCCCACGGAACAGCTGGTTAGTTCAACTGCATAGGGTTAGTGCTTTAGGAATAGCACCAACAGCACAGAGCTGTTTGCTTTTGAACCTTAGATGCAGACGCTCACACAGCCTCCATCACCATGTTTGTGAGATATGTCGATGTGGCTGTGTGCAGTAGGCATTCACTCTTTATGATTATGTTATTGTTGGTGTTTTGTACCTTGTGTTGAACTGGCCTACAGCCAGGTTTTCAGCCAGCAGGTTTGCAGAGAAAGTAAATTGCACATAGAAGACTGCTCATCTTTCTCCCTCAGAGCAGCTGGTAGATTTGAACCGTGTGCTTTCGGGTTGCCAGTGCAGCACTCCATTATATAAAAACGTTCGGCGCTGTGTGAAACTCTAGGACGTGGCTTTGGCACATGGACGTGCATTTCATTAGGAGTGGAGATGCAGAGTTACTGGGTCCAGTGGTAAATCATCACGCACACGTTCACTCCTTTTAGGTGCCCTGGGCCATGGCAGCATGAACTGCCCACCTTCCCACCCTACTGCTGTCAGCGTGAGTTGGCTTCTCTGCCATCATCCCTGAGAGTCCTCTGTGGCTTCTCAGTTCCCATCCCAGGGTGCCCTGGGCTGTTTCCTAGGACCCAGGCTGCCAGCTCTCTGCCTTCAGGCTGGACTCCTGGCCTTCTGGTTCTCTGACTGGAGTTGAAGTGGGCACTCAGCCTTGGCCTCAGCCTGGTACTCCGACTGGGCCCCAGAGGCCTGGCTTTTGTACTTCCAGCTCCTTCTGCTGTACCTCCTCTCCCCATGGCTGTTTCCATTTAGAGACCTCCTAGGCATCTTCCAGGCACAGCACAGTGTCCCTACCCCTTGTACCTGCTTTACCAGGGTGGCAGCATTGAGGGACAGGGGCTTGAAGGCACGCTGAAGTGTGCCTGATGCCTAGCTGTGCCACTCCACAGCTGTTTGACCTCACATGGGTCACTCTGGGTCAGTTATGGGTCCATGGGGTAAGGCAGAAGTTACAGCTATCAATTACTGAGAACATGTCCCAGGTATCTTATTGTGTCCTCTCCAGAACTTCATGAGGTGGACACTTTCAGCACCACCATTTCACAAGGGGCAGGGGAGACCCAGAGAGGTTAGGGGGGTAAGTGGCAGGGATGTGAGCCCAGGTCTGGCTCATCACTGCTCTCCCTGCTTTAAACCTGGGTACTCAGGATTGAGGGCATTAAATGGGGTGATTCCAAGTACCTCATGCTGCTGTGCTGGGCATAGGCATGCTCAGTAAAGGGTTGTGGCTTTTGCGATGATTTGGGGTTACTGGGTGGAGTCTGAGATGAGGCCGGCCCCATGTCGGAAGAACAGGGTCATGGCATGTGATGGAGGTCCCCACTGAGCTCCTAACCAGCATGTGAGAGCTGAGCCCCTGGGACTGGGGTGTTTGTCCAGCACAGGGGGACTGTTCACAGGCCCTTTGGCTTTTCTGCCAGGAACCTGAGGCCAGAGGCAGGAGGTCAGGGCCCTGGGTCACACAGCTCCTGCACTACCAACATGGCCCCTCTCACTCCCTTAGGGCTGGCTGCGGGCAGGATGGACACCCTGCAGGAGGTGATGTGGGCCAGTGGCAACACGACGACGCTGCCTCCTCCCCAGGCGCCAAACATCAGCGTGCCCCATCGCTGTCTGCTGCTGCTCTATGAAGACATTGGCTCTTCTAGGTGAGTGACACAGCCCTGCCGGCAGGGTGTTTGTGTGAGAGACAGCAGGAAGGCGTGTGTGCGTGTGTGTGTGTGTGTGTGTGTGTGTGGTGTGTTGGGGGGTGGGTGCTCATACAGCCGCCCTGGTGACACAGCACCTGTGCTTACCTGCCAGGGTCAGATACTGGGACCTCCTGCTGCTCATCCCCAATGTTCTCTTCTTCATCTTCCTGCTCTGGAAGCTCCCGCTTGCTCGGGCCAAGATCCGTATTACCTCCAGCCCCATTTTTATCACCTTCTATATCCTGGTGAGTTCATCCTAGTGGGTACCCCAAAACTCAACTCCAGCTGAACTGATGAAAAAACTCTAGCTTCAGGTGTGGAAGAACCCAGGGAGCAAATGATGCCGCCGGGCTTACGCCTGTGCCCCCAGCCCGTGCTTTCTCTGCCTTTATTTCGCATGAACTCTCCCTGTGTGGAATCATATATGGCCAAGAGTCACTTGGAGAGCTCACCTTGCCTTCCTGCCTGCTCCGGCCGAATCTCTCTTTCCCAGTGGTTCCAACATTGGCCTGGAATTCTCTTTGACTGGCCCAGCTTGGGTCATGTCCTCATCTCTGAACGAACCCCTGTGGTCAATAGGAAAGGGGGACTTCAGAGCTAGGAGGGTGGAGTCAGCTCAGCCAGACCACTTGGACTGGAAATGTGGGAGATGGGGGATGGCCCTTGGGGGGATAAAAGAAATTTGGAAATCTGCTCCTGTAGGAAGAGGGGACTGGATGCTGGCTGGGGAAGAGGTCACCATAGCCCCCATCAGGCCATTCCCCACCTGTCCTTGAGTCCCTGTCACCTCTCTGGTGCTGATTCCTTGCTCTAGTGACCCTGCCCTTCCATCCCTCCATGGTAGCTGGCTCATTGCCTGAGTTGAAGGCAGGACTGTTTGTGAGTGTGGCTCCAGATGCCAGCTGTCTAGAGAGAGTCCTTTGGTGCTGGATTCCCGGAGGAATCCAGGAGAGGAGAGGGCCTACCTACAGCCCTCCATGACCCTGGGGAACCAGCCCCCGGAAGCTGCGTGGCTCCTACAGACCCCTCTTTGCAGTCTGTCAGAACTTCCTAGGCCAGAAGAGAGGGCAGTGGACAGTGGCGAGGCAGGAACCCCTCCTGCTCCTGTGTGCTGGCAAGAGGGAGTAGGCAGGACTGAGGCTACCTTATCTTTCAGTTTCTCTTCCACTGTCTCTCTGACATTTACTCATTTATTCGGTAGAGTTGAGCACCCACTGGACACTAGGCAGAAGCCCTTTTTAAGAGGGTACAGGCAGTGAGAAGAAAGCCAAGGCTGGTGCTGAGGAACGTGGGATGGGCCCAGAGAAGTCTGTACTACCCCAGGCTTTTGCTCTTGGGCTCTTTGCCCTAAAGAACTATGTGACTTTGGCTGGTTCCTTGGCCTTTCTGATCTTCCTGTCTTTCCTGTGCAATATGTGCTGGGTGTTCTTTGGCTGGTGGAATGGTTGTGAGCTTCAAATGAGACAGCATGCAGAACTGCAGCCAAGTGGACACTGGACAGATTCAGGGCACAGCTATGGTTACTTTCTGTGGTCCAATTGTGGAGCACAGGCCACCTCCCCAGGGCCTGGCCCGGCTTTCATAGCACAGAGGCTGTCATGAGTGTGAAATCTCTGGTCTTGTGTTTGGACATATCAGAAAGCCAACTTACATCAAACCAGGTAAGGGAAAGAATTGACACAGAGCAGAGAAGTTCCAGGGCTTTAGGCCTGGCTGGATGCAGGGTCTCAATGCGTCTATACATCTGTCTCCCTCTGAGCTCAGTTTCTCCCCAGCACGGCTGCACAGCCCCAGCAGCTCAGCTCCTCCCCCAGGGATGACTTGCTGTAGATTCCCTTGGGTCTCATCCTGAGATGTCCTGAGGCTAGAGGAATAGCATGCTTGGACTGGCCAGCCCAGAGTCACAGCCCATCCCTGAAGCCAGGAGTACTTGTGTCAGCCTCGCCCAGAACTACACAAACAAAACTCCAGTGCTGAACACAGGATAAAGCCCAACGCTGGCAGCTTACTCCAGGGCCTCTGAAGCCTCTCTTCAGGCACTACATTCCCCTGTGCCCTGTATGTCTCAGAATGAAAAATGTGACTCTTAGTGCTGCCAGCAGGCATGAAGTACGAAGTCCTCATGGTGGCCTGGCACTTTTCTGGGACATTTGTTTAACCAGGTCATCTTTCCAACAACCCTCATTTTGTAGTTGAGGAAATCGAAACACTGAAGTGCAGTTACTCTCCTGAGGCTACAAAGCCAGGGAGCAGCAGAGCTGGGATTTGAACCCCAGGCAGACTGATATCTAAATCTTTTAAACACTCTGGCTCTGCTTTGTTTCAAAGGTCTTGGGATATGACAATATGACAATGACAACAGTGAGCCAAGAAATGGGGCCCAGAGAAGAGGGGCATGTGGGCCTTCCTGCTGTAGGAACCCTGCCTCTTGGAGCCCTTGAACTGATTCTTACCTAACTGCCCCCATCCCCCCTTCGAGATAAATATTTAGTTTGAAATCTTCCCTTCTGGAAGACTCAGAGGCTCCTGTGGGTGTGGGGTGTGGGTCCCTAGGGGATCTTGGTCCCTAACTCTACACCCGGCTCCCATCCCCCCAGGTATTTGTGGTAGCACTGGTGGGCATTGCCCGGGCTGTGGTGTCCATGACGGTCAGTACCTCGGATGCTGCTACTGTTGCTGACAAGGTGTGTCTGGGCCCCTTGACGGGGAGGCTGGGATGCTGGGTGACTGGGCACCCAGGCTGATGCTCTGCCTACTCTGTGTCCAGATCCTGTGGGAGATTACCCGCTTCTTCCTGTTGGCCATCGAGCTGAGTGTGGTCATCCTGGGCCTGGCCTTTGGTGCGTGTGCCCCTAGGACTCTGGCCAGTGGTCTTTCCTCCCCTCTCAGTCGGGACAGGGGGTGGACCGTGACAGTTGCCGGAGCACTGACAGCCCAGCATATCCCTTGCAGGCCACCTGGAGAGCAAGTCAAGCATCAAGCGAGTGCTGGCCATCACCACTGTGCTCTCCCTGGCCTACTCTGTCACCCAGGTAGGAGCTCCCTGGTGGAGGCTGAGGGTCACTGAGTACCGTGCAAAGGCCTGTTGGGGACAGGTTTATCAATGACCACATTTCTCAAGCTTCAAAGGCGTATTAGAAACACCCTTGGTGCTCGTGAACAAGATGGCTTTTGAGTCACCCGCAGAGGCTCTAGTCAGTGGGAATCATTTAGCAAGCAGCCCAAGTGGTGCAATGCAGGCCTTCAGGCCACACAGGAAACTGTGGTCTTGTGGCTCGTTTTGTAGTACAGACAAGGGCTGCACTTACTCAGCTCTGCACCACCTTCCTGCCGCCTACCCCCTACCCAGAGGGGCTTAGGCCCAATGGGGCTGCCTCTGCGTGCTGGGGACATGGTCTGAGAGCAGGCTGAGGCAGTGACTGAGGGACTCTGAGTCTCAAAGGCCAGGCTGAAAGGCTTGGGTGTGCTATTGATAGTGAGCTGGGGGGCGGTAGATCAGGACAAGGTTTTCCAGGTGGTGCAGCCTGGTGCCCCCCTCTCCTCTCTCCCTACCTGCCCCTGCAGGGAACTCTGGAGATCCTGTACCCCGATGCTCACCTCTCAGCCGAGGACTTCAACATCTATGGGCATGGGGGTCGGCAGTTCTGGCTGGTCAGCTCCTGTTTCTTCTTCCTGGTAAGGCAGAGGCAGGGGTCCAGTCTGGGGTCCTCTGGAACGACTGGTTTATCACTGGGGCGTGTGTGTGTGTGTGGGGGGGGCAGGCTGATGTCTGGGCTTTTGTGTCCACAGGTCTACTCTCTGGTGGTTCTCCTCCCCAGGACGCCTCTGAAGGACCGCATCTCGCTGCCATGTGAGCTGCTGGGCAGGGCTGGGGGCTGGAGAATCCCGTGTGTGATTTCGAGTCCCAAACCTTGTGTTGAGCTTGGGGGGGGTGGCGCAGGGCATGGCCCAGGTAAGGGCTATTCTTACACCCCTGCCCCACAGCTCGGAGGAGCTTCTACGTGTATGCAGGCATCCTGGCACTGCTCAACCTAGTTCAGGGGTTGGGGAGCGCGCTGCTGTGTGCTGACATCATCGAGGGCCTCTGGTAAGTGGGGCCAGGGAGGAGGGCTATGTCCCTGTGCAAGTGTGAGGCTGGGATGGGATTAGGGTCGCTGGATAGCTCTCTGCCTGGGGCATGCAGGTGTGGGAACGAGTATGAGATGCTGACATTTGGAGGGGAATGTGGGGGGGATAGTGAAACAAGGGCCTGGATATGGCAAGATGCTGCCCCCAGATCTGCCTCTAACTTGCTTTCTTCTCCCAATCCTTATAGCTGTGTAGACGCCACCACCTTCCTCTACTTCAGCCTGTTTGCACCCCTTATCTATGTGGCTTTCCTCCGAGGCTTCTTTGGGTGAGTGGGTCAGGCTGGAGTGAGACTCCAGGGCGGAGAGCTGGGAGGAGACCCAGCTAGCTCCTGGTCTCAAGGCTTGCACGCGCCCCCACGTGGCTACTGGTGGAATCACACGTGTGCATGTGCTTATGTGAATGCCAAGCAAGGCAGCACATGCTCAGTGTCTGCATGCACGTCCACCTTCTCACCAAAGAAACAGCAGCCTTGCACTTGTTCTGCACGTCCTGGTTTTCCTACAAGGCTGTGCTACCTCATTCATTCAGCAAATACTCCCCAAACATCTACTACATAGCAGGCACTGGCATTACTGCCAGAATCAGCAGGGAGCAAGCAGACACAAATGCCGCCTGCATGGACTCATTCTGGCTGGAGCATCAGGCACCTGAGCTGGTTGGGGTGGAAAGTCTGTCCTGGAGTGTATGGATACACTCGTGTGTGGGAAGTCAGGGAGAAGAATAATAGGACACTTCAGGCCTCTCCTTTCACTTATAGGAGGACGTTGGAGATGCGTCAGACCCCAGCGCCACCATGTGTGACACAGTGGTCTCCCTTAGCCTCGGGCTTCCTGCTGTAAAATGGACACAATAATAAGGCCATTTCAGCATTGTCCCTGGGAGAAAGTAGCTGACAGGAGAAGTGTATAGTGATAAGAGCTGGAGAGGTCAGAGGGACGAGGTCACAGCCAGTGTATAGTGGGTATTTTATGTCAGGAATGGTCAAGCCTCATAATTTGCTCCTGTTCATCATCTCCAAAGAGCACACCATTTTATGGCACAGAAACCTCATACCCAAGCTCACATAGCAAGGAGGAGGAAGAGCTGGGGTTCGAAACAAGGCTTTTATTCCAAACAATGCATGACCTCTTGGGGTGGGTGTTTGGGTGGCTGTTACCACGCTTCCTTGCACCCCCTCCATGGCTTCTTTGCCCCAGGAGGAAGGCCTCTCCTGAACCACATGGTGATACTTTGCTCCTTTCCCCTTTACTAGCTCAGAGCCCAAGATCCTGTTCTCTTACAAATGCCAAGTGGATGAGACAGAGGAGCCGGACCTGCACCTTCCCCAGCCCTATGCCGTGGCGCGGCGGGAGGGCGTGGAGGCTTCGGGGGCTGCAGGGGCCTCTGCTGCCTGCTACTCAAGCACGCAGTTCGACTCAGCCGGGGGCATTGCCTACCTGGATGACATTGCCTCCATGCCATGCCACACAGGCAGTGTTAACAGCACAGACAGCGAGCACTGGAAGGCTCTCAATGCCTGAGGGTGGCTGCCTGGACAGAGGGCCTGCAGGGGCCTGTGGAGGACCAACTGGAAGGGAATCCTAGGAGCGAAGTTGAGGTGGAGAAGGAAAAGGCCAGAAACCTCTGTGGGTGGTGCTCAGGTGTCAGGCCCCCTCCCTTGCAGGCTGGAGGCCTTTTCCTGTCCCTCTGCTTCCTCCTCCCATCAACACTTCCGCTCTGCCTGGGACTCTCCTGCCCTCTCCCACCTTACCCTGCTCAGTGGTTGGCTTCAGCCATGGATTCCTCAGGGTCAGGCTTGGTTTGGCTGACCCAGGGCATCTCCTTTTCCAAAGCCTTGACACCTAGGGCTGGTCGGCCCTCATCAGCTTTCACCCCCATCCCTGTGGGATCTGGTCTCCTTAGAGCCACTGTGGTGATGGGCTGAAGCATGTATATTTTCTCGATTTATTTTCTAATAAAAAGCAAAAGGAGTAGACGGCAGTGTTGTGGAGGTTGTTCAAGAGTGCTTGACTGGTGGTTGCTTGAGGAGTCGAAGGCCCTACAGGCCCCTTGGATGTCACATCCTTTGCTCAAGGAAGAAGCTGGGATGGGTGGCTCTGGGCTGATGCTGGGAAGTGGCCGGCCACACTCACCTCTCGACCCTGTGTGTGGATGCGAGATGGACCAAGGAGAGCTTTATGAGCTGTACTTCTGTCTCTGTCAGTTAAAGAGCTCAGGCTTTGGGCCTCTCCTTTCTCTGCCTCTCTCTTCTCTCAACGTGTTTCACCATCTGTGAAATAATGGGCATATGAGTATTGATCTTGCAGCATCAATTTTCTAAGGATTAGAAGATAAGTATAAATGGCTACTTATATCTATCTTAACAAAATAAGAAATTGTTACTTTTATCCCCAGAATGAGCTTTGGCTCATGATAGGAACTCAGAAGAGTGGCTGCCGGGGAGTGCCATTTGTAAGAGGATTTGCTGTTGCTGTTGTTGTGTCCACAGCTGACCCCTCAGCAGGTTTTCAGAGGCAGTAAATCACGCAGGAGGAGCTAGCCCATCCTTCTCTCCTGGAGCAGCTCGTGGGTTATTCCTTCCCCCAAAACCACCAGGGTTCCCTACATGAGAAGGCAAAGAGGTGTAATTCTGACAGAAAGCAATGGGGTTTGGTAAAACGTAAATAAAAGGAGAGAGGTTCTGTGTCCCCATACTGCTGTGTTGTTATGTGTGATTGAGACAACTACCACCCATAACGACTGTATGAACAATGGCTCTGAACCTTGCCCTGTCCTGAACCAACCTCACCCTCTGTGACACACCTACCCCCATGGCCACAGTCACTGAGTCAATCCATCCATCCAGGGTCTTCCTCTCCTGCACCATCCTTCCAAGCACGATGTCCTCCTCCAGGGTCTGTCCCCTCCTGGCACCATGCTTAAAGTATGTGAGGCGGAGCTTCAGAATCCTTGCTTCCAAGAAGCAAACTGGTTTCACCCTGTCCATGCTGGGGAGGAGGTCTCAAGGCCTGGAGGACCATCTGCACTGGGGAGCACACAAGTTATGGGTAGGAGTGACCAGACCTAAGACATCACATTAAGGATTAGTTTGAGGCCTCATGGTATAGGGAGGTCTGGAGGGAAAGGTGCGAAAGAGCAATGCAAATTGCCAAATTTTCCTGTCAGTTTTGTATTGGGAAGTGTCTTAGCTGTTTGCTTTTCTAGATACATATATGCCTGCTTGTTTATAGTTTGCTCTTTTGGGTGTAGCACTTGCTTGTCAGATGCTATATTAAAGCAGAGCTTCCAGGTTAAGACAGACTAGGAAGAAGGATTGGCCGGCCTTCCACTTCTGAAAATAACAGACCATCAAAAGTCCCTATGAAATACTGCTCTAGCTGTGCCTAAAATTGATTTTGAGTTTTCCTGATATGCTAAGTAAAAAAGTTAGTATGTAATTAATATTGTCAGGGAGGGGTCCCTGGGGGGAGGAGAAAATGGACACACTCAACCCCAACCAGAAGGTGAGAGCATCAAGTCCACCCACAAGGGCCTTGGAGGAAAAGCCTGGTGATTTAATTCTGAAAAATCAGCTGTTAAAAACCAGAGAACAGCTCTACAACTCTAGTGGGATTGTCAGGACTCTGTCACGACAGCTCTGCGACTGTGTGTGATTGCCAGGAACCGGTCATGACAGATCCGCGACACTTGTGGGATTGCCAGGAATCAGAAGCACATTATTGGGTTGGTTCGTTGAACTGTCTGTGTACGAGTGTGTGTTTAAAGCTGTCGGAGAGGAGGATGCAATCAGGAACATAACCAGGCCTCACAATTCAGAGCCTAGAAGAGGTCTCAGTGGGGCCATCAGGGACCTGAGGGTCGGGGCTGAGGCCTGCTCTACAGCTGGCCTAGTTTCTCAGGAGGACACAAGCTCCAGTGCAGCTTGCCTCACGTGATTGTGTCTACTCTGTTATCCAGGGCAGAGGGCACTGTTGGAAGGCATGGGCCCCTGGTCAGTGCTGGGCACTTTGCTGGCACCCACAGCATGAGCTGACCTGGACAGCCAGTCAGCAGGACTTCTGGGCGGTGAGAGCTGGACGGGAAAGGCAAGAGCTGCCAGGGCTCCTGCGTGGGCCTTTGCTGGTGAGGAGGTCACTTAGCAACTGACAGGCCCTCTGAGCAGGGCAGGGGCAGACAGCAGGGGCGAAGGGCTCCAGGTCCTTAGCAGCTCTGAGAATTGACCAAGGAGTGTCTGACATCAAGTCCCAGAGCTGGGTTTTTGATCAGCAACCTTGCTCTGTACAAGACCTTCCCTGGGTCTTTCTGGCCTAAGACATCACAGCCACAGTGTTGGTGGGTGCAGAGAGTGAGGCAGGTGAATCAGCAGAGATGTAGCAACAGAAATAAAGCCCCAGGGCCAAAGAGGGCAGAGACCTGCTTTCTGTTTTGTTTCAAAAGCAGTGTGTGTGTGTGTGTGTGTGTGTGTTGTGTGAAAGTAGGTAATATACATTCATGGTTGAAATCATACCAGATAAGAGGTGTATAGGAGACTTTCTGTTTGAACGTTAGGCTCCTGGAAGGCTGCTCCTGAACACCTAGGTCCCCAGCAATGACTAGGTGCTCACGCCTGCGGACAGCCCCCTGGCCCTGGATCCTGGGGCTTGGCACATTCACACACAGTGTGAGCCGCTCTGAGGATTACACCCTTGGCACCCTCCTGAGAAACACCCCGGAAGCCAGAGAGATCCTGGGTGTGTTTCCAAGCATATGAATGTGTATTGCCACTATGTTTTGACATAAATGCTCTGCAGCTTGCTTTTGTCACTTGCCAGTTGATCTTGGAGATCATTCCCATGACAGGGTGGGCACACTGTCTTGCACAGCTGCACCCAAAAGATCTGGTGTTTCCAATATATTTTGTGAAAACAAATTCATGCAGTGATAAATGTACCTAAAAATATACTTTTGGTAACTTAAGCAAGTGAGATAGTAGCTGGAACACACAGTCTTATTGTGGCCAGAGTAGCACTAATTGAAAGACAGCATTTCCCACCCTCTTGTGATGAGGCACTCAGGTGACTACATTCTAGCCAGTGGGGACATTATTGGAAATAGAAGGGACTTTTATTTTTTTAGCAGAGGTGGCTTGAATGGAGATTATTTAGCTAAGGCAGTATGCTCTCTTCATTGTTGTTAAGTGCCGTCGAGTTGTAGGCAACTCATGGCGACCCTGTGAACAAAAGTCCTCAACACTTGTGTGTCTTTCATCCTTTCTCCAGGTTCATAGGGTTTCTGGAGGCAAGCTATTTACAAAAGTGGATGCCACTCCTGCTTCCAAGCTTGTTTTAATTGGGGAGTACCACCAAACACAGTCTGCCATGGGTAACTATTAACATATTTGACACATCAGTGTCACAGTGCTCAGCTTCACAGCAACCACAAGTTACCTCTCTCTGTATGGCAAGTGGACACACCAGGGCTACACGACCTAGAAGGATGTTTGACCAAAACCAATGAAAAACAGATCCGAGGCCCGCGGATTAAAATCACCCACCTTTGACTTGGTAGTATCACTTTCTGGCCATGGGCCATCTGATCTCTCTCTGTTGATGTTATTGTTGTTAAGTGCTGTCAAGTCATAGGCGACTTATAGCGACCTTCATTAGAGAAGGGAATGAGTTCTGTGTTCCTGACAGTAGGGACTCAATCTCAGCTGCTTCTCATGGGCAAGGCCAAGCTCCAGGTTAGATGATTCTGCTGTATCATTGTTCTCACCTCTGCGAAGGATCAACCAGCCCAGCAGAGCTCAGACTGCAGAATCCACGTGATGTGGGCACTGGAGGCCTCCTGATAACAGGTGTGAACATGTGGCTGGGACATTAGAGTTCCCCCCACATACAATGCTCCCTGGAGACTAGGACAGCAAAGCTGAGTGCAGCGTAAGAAAATGGGGGGACCTCAGTGCCCTCCACTCCTGGGGACTCAGCCAGCTCTGCCCAGGGCATGGGTAGTGAAAGACTTCTGGGTTTTCTACAATTGTGTCTTTTGGGACCAACTTAGCTTTAGCGCAGCCTGTAGACCAAATGTCTTAGACAAAGTGAACCAGAGTGCTCCTTGGAGGCAAAGATGGCAAAACTTGGTCTCACATACTTCGGGTATGTTGCTCGGAAAGACTCGTCCTCTTTGGAGAGAAACATGGAGGGTCAGCCAAAGAGAAGACCCTCAAGGAGAGTGACTGTAGCAATGAGTTTAAGTGTGTCATGGTGATGAGGATGGTGATGAGGTGATGAGGGCAGGACAGGGATGCTAGGAGTCGTACTTGATTCTACGACACCTAACAACAGCCACCATCACCAACCATGGTTGCGCTTTCGAACCATAGACCATCCATGTGCGCTTCCACTGTTGTTGTTTTTAGGTGCTATTGAGTATAACTCATCGCGACCCTGTGAACAAAAGATCTGAACCCCATTCTATCCTGTGCCGTCCTCATACTTCCTGACACACAGGAACCCATTGCAGCGGACACCATGTTAATGCA